TCGGCCCATTAGGCATTTTGGGCTACACTGTGCTTGCTAGCCCAAATAAGATCATGGCCTGAACGGTAATTCGGCCCGATTAATTTCGGTTTATTGACAACTTGCGTTTAAGCCCCCAGAGTGCTGGGTTTTTACGCTATAGTTCACTGTTTAATGGAATTTTACAGTTTGAACCTTATAATTAACAAGAGATTATATTAATTTTATTTGTGTGGCTATGTCTTGTTGCTTAGGCCCTGTATAGTTTGGTTTTGCATGTGGGTCTCCGGACTCGTAAATAACCATGTAATGGTGTTTTTTAAGCATTGCTTTGCTTTTAAAATTGATGCAATTCCAACTAAATAATCTGGAGATGGTTTTCTAGGTTATGATGCTTCCATAAATTGTGTTCATATAGTGTAGAATTCAACCCTTGGAAGCATTATGATGGGTTTATTTTCCTGCATTTATGTGTGATGGTTTTCTATGTGGTATAAATATTGGGAATATAATGCCAAATAAGACCAAGTAAATAATAGAAAATCACTTAATGCATGGAAATTCTAGGAAATTAAATATCCATGGCTATGGATAAGACCACTCTTTACTGATACACTCCTCCATACATAAATGGTGATATCGATGTGTCTACAAGATGGAGTCACGTATACTTGTTGTTGAGATCCATGCTTTTGCCGAATTCACTGCGCATATCATCTACTTGCGTGCTGCGTTCTCTGAGAACTGCATGAAACGATTTGGATGATAGTGTGGGTGATTTCATGTAAAGGCCTTCAATGACTATTGTATGGCTTTGGGCATTAATATAGATCACTCTATCCCTATGATCACACTCAAGAATGGGATTCTGAGTCATTGAAATGTGTGGAATAAGACAATGTGTTTGGGATTCATTGTGCCTTTCCCCTACTGGCTTAACATCTCAATCAGAGTATGGTCGGACTACGGTCGACATTTTGCTTTCCCAATGGTTGAGAGCACGCTTTTCTGATTTGGAGATAAATGATTATACCTCAATTCTCTAGCAACGTGGAGTTGCGAGGTTCAATAGTTTGAGATATTTTTCACTCGGTCTAGTGAAAGATGTAAAGTGTTTTCCAGGTGGTGGAATGACACTGTTCGTATGGTTGCCCTTGGTGTGCACATATCTTCTCACTATTATTTGGAACCTGATGTCTTGCGAGGACACCGGAAAATTGGATGCAAATCTAGTGGAATAAGCCCGAGGGTAGATGCTGTGAATAGGCATGATTCCCACTCCACTATAGCGCCAACAGCTAAACTTGGGTGTTGACCCAGTCTTGGTCCTCGCATGGATCTAGCGCTAATGACCACCTTTGGTTGATGCCGATGGTTGGTGGTGTCTGTCTAATAAGTTGTTCTGACAACGGGAGTTGTATTGCTAGTTTAGAGCATGTCCTAGGAGAACATTGGTCGACTATACTGTTGCCAAGCAGTTTATCTTTTGCTTAGTTTGGAACTTTGTATTAGATCAATATTTCTCAGATAAATAGCGTTCTTGGTCTTTCCTGTTCTATTCTAAAGCTTATCTTCATGCTGGAATTGATAAAATGCTTTAGTTTAGAATAACAATTAGTGTATGATCCGAGGAGTTACAACCACTTACACAGTTCAGCGTAACTGTATTTCAAACAAATGTTGGCTATGCACTATTGCGTTTTATCGCGCTCTCGTAGTTGATGACTACTCCCTGGTTGTGTTGGTTGATCACCCATGGGTTGATGACCATGCTTGTCGCACACTGGCGTTTTTCGCGTGTGGACATGTGCGAGTCATGCAAAGGTTCGTCGTGTTGCATGCGTTGAGCTTGTTATGCCAACGACGGTTGCACCGACACATTCTACTATTTTTGTGGATATGTCTGAATATAATGGTTTTATTGTGAATATTACCATTGTTGGAGGTATTGATTATCTCCCAATGGCTATGTCTAGGGGATATTAGCAAATGTGGTTTGATAATTCGCTCGTGCATCATACCTAATACATGCTGCTTAACTATAACCCAATTCTAGAGTTTGGTATGAGTAATTGGGGTCAAACTTGGGCATTAAACAAACTGGACATTAACCCAACTCTGCACCACAAAAATCTGCTTGGCAGCGTAGGCTAGTGGCCGTGCATTTTTGCTATCATACTCCTTGTCGAGCGCATCGGAATGCGTTTTGCCACCATAGGTTGCCTTCTTAAGCATATGACATGGGATGTCTAATGCACGTCGATCCGGAATCGATTGTGAGTTTGAATGGCACAAGGTGAGCATTAATCCATGGAGATTGCATATGGCTAAAGTATTTGCATGTTGGTTGCATATACATTTGGTAGCAATAGTGGTTTTTGCAGACTTGTATATCCTAACTAGGAGGTTGAGGATAACCCTTCGGAGGAAGGAAGAACACTGTAGTCATGCCACTGTATTGGTATATATCCAGGCTCACTTTAATGCAAAAATCTCTCCGATTAAAGTGCATAATATTTCCCAAATATATCGCCACCGTAGCATACATTCATGGGAGAACATTTGTGATCGAGGTGAAATTCCTAAATCCTATGCCACGATATGGGGATTGGTAGTATGCTATTGTAAGATATCTCGGCATTAGGGGGAGAGAATTGCCCATTTTGGAATGCATGTACATTTCTTTGAGTGAACGCACTAAATGAGCTGAATTTGTATGTTTAGTTCATACTCCTGGTTGCTTGGTGCACGGAGTTTTTGCCAACAAAATCATATGAGGAACAACTGGATAGTTGTTAAAAAGAGTAATGCTCCCAATTATGGTAAATGTGGATAGACCCGGGAATAATATCGTATCCATATAAGACTTATGGAATTTGATCATGTTATGTGAGGACGCCTGCTAACACGATCCGTGGGCCTTAGTCAGAGCATAAGAGTTCTCACCGGATGTGAGCATACTCCTCTGATTCTCCTAGTGGAGAATTCACCTTCGGAAGGTGATATACCTCATAATGATGTTCGTCGTGGAGACGACATTCCTAGCAATTCGCACATATTATGGTGCTAGGAATATGGAACAACCATGGATCGATCGTTTTGGGAAATGACGAAGATCTGGTTAAATGTGTAAGTGGGAATAAATGTGTCGCCTCTTGCTAATGATTCTCTGTGAGAGAACCCGGATCTGGAAAAAGTCCATGGCATGAGCATGCGATGCTCAAATCGGGTCAAATGGAAATGCAATTGAGGCTGAACCGAATCACTAAGTAAAAGTCGCGAATGTTGTTCGGATTTTTAGGGTCATTATTGAGATAATGAGGTGGTGATGTGCAATGGTTCAAGTAGGTCCTTGATGAGACCTCTCCCACGTAAGTTGAATGTTCCGCTAAATAAAGGTATTGGCAAAATGGCATGAAATTAAATATGCAGTTAACGGATTTAGGAAATCCGTGAGGTCTTGAATAGACTCCGTAGTGAAGTTGCAGCATGTAAATCTCGTACCAATGGGTATTCTGATAAGAGTACCATTTCCCGTTGGGAGAAAATCTCATTGATGGATTTTTCTCTGAGGGGAGACCTCATTGATGAATTTTTCTCTGAGATACAAAATAATTAGTAAGTCTGAACACACCATATTGTATAATCCCTTGGAGGGATTAAGACCCATTTATGACCCGGTAAGATTGCGATGAGGAACCTGCTAAGGTATACTTAGTGTTGTTGGCTATGTGTTATCTCCCATAGTGCTTAAATTTTCAGACTAGCTAGTTACTCTGATAGTTACAACATATCTTTGGAAGGCTTGTAGTTGATCTTGTGGATCTCCAATTGTTGTTGACATCGTCAGAGAAAGTTGCAATGATCAAGAGATGTGTTTGCTTGGCACGTGGCCTACCGATGAATAATGCGGTCGAGAGATGTGTTTGCAATATGGGGCGAGATGTTGCCACAGGCAGCCTAGCTAGCTAGCTTACGACCGGCACCGTGCCCGTGCAGCAGCCGCACCGCGTCATCTCTCAAATTTCGGACCACGAACTCGAAGGCAGCCGCGGCTCCTGTGCCGCGGAGACGTGGAGACCTGGAGAAAAACGGCATCTCGTCGCCTCCGGCCGCCACGTGAATTGGCTCGATCGCGGCGGAATGGCGTACACGCCAGCGCGCGCGGATCAGGCGGTAGCAGAGCGCTTTCTCGTCGCCCGGCGGCACTGGCGGGCGGCGTCGAGTGGAGTGGACCGATTGATTGCGGCAGCGACTGATGGCATGGCTTGGGTCGTGCCTGTGACGGCCCGCCACGAATAGAGGCCTTATCGCGCTTTCGTCCCGTACGTGCTTGGGCCTCGTTCCTCACCGCACGGCCCGGACCATTTTCTATCTTGTGCGGCACAAGAGTGCCCTGTATGTATACTTGCCACGGAATTCATTCCTGGAACAAATTTTACTTTCGCTTTTCCCTTTCTCTTTTCCTTTGCGAAAACAAAAGGAGTAGTTATTCGATCTGTGATCTGTGACGTAGAGCCAGCAACGATCGAATGCATATGCATCGATGATCATTCGCCGATCGCTTCTTTCCCGAAAATTCATTGGCGGATCGCTTGGCTCTCAAGTAAAATAATATAGTACTATTTAGTACTCCCCGTTTCAGGTTATAAGACGTTGATCAAGATCAAACTGTTTTAATTTTGATTTTAACTTAGTCGAACTTGAAACATCAAACTCAAAACTTCAGGCCTGTTCAAATTGTAATCAAAATAAACATTACCAAATTTTGACAATATTACCATCCTAGCAAAATTTTGGTATCCTAGCAAAATTTTGGCAATACCGAAATTTTGGCAGGATTTCTTATGTAATTACTAAATTTGGCAACAAACTAAACGTAGATATTTTTTTAGCAACTTTGCCAATAAATGGTATAATTGAAAATGACAACAATCTGAAAAGCACCTTCTTGTAACCTGAAAGAAGGGAGTACAAGACAATACACCATGTACCTATAGTACGTATATAGCATATGAAACGATCAAATGCCTATATATTGTTGCTTATCCTATTGCTACCATATGATGCATCAATCAAACAAACAATACTACGCTTTCAGGTTAAATATTTCTCTCACACTTCATTTGATTACTCGTTTGTTGATCTCAAATAATATATTGGATCATACCTGTCTAACAAATTTGCCGGTCAATTCAGGTCTTTGACCAATGGGTTTCAATTTCCATCCGGTGAACGACAGCGACTGGTTGATCAGGGCGGCGATGCTGCTGAGCTTCACCCTGCAGGTGATCCTCGTCTTTGTCGCGCCCACGCGCAAGCGCTCCTGCCACCCGCTTCCCCACCTCGCCGTCTGGTCCAGCTACCTCGTCGCCGGCTGGGTCGCCGTCGTCGGCCTCGGCCTCCTCCTCAACAGCCTCAGCATCAGCGGCAGCAACAATGGGTCCTCCTCCATCTTCGCCTTCTGGACGCCATTCCTGCTGCTCCACCTCGGCGGCCCCGACACCATCACCGCCTACTCCCTCGATGACAACGAGCTCTGGCTGCGCCACCTCGCCGGCATGCTGTTCGTGGTCTTCGCCGCATTGGTCGTCTTCTTCAGCTCCGTCACGAGCAACCCCATGGTCACGGCCACCGTCCTCGTCTTCGTCGCCGGCGTCATCAAGTACGGCGAGAGAATCTACTCGCTCTACTCCGGAAGCGTGAGAGGTTTCCGCGACAAGATGCTCGGCGAGCCTAATCCTGGCCCCAACTATGCCAAGCTCATGACGGAGTTCGAGTCCAAGAAGAACGCCGGCCTGATGGTCGAGATCATCGTCGTCGACGGCGAGCACAAGGAGGCGCTGGAGCAGGCGGAGGTGATGAAGAACGGCAGGAAGAGCGTGGAGACGATGGCGTACGAGCTCTTCGCCATGTTCCGGGTGCTCTTCGTCAACCTCGTCCTCAGCTACAAGGAGCGGAGGATCAGCCAGGCCTACTTCCTCGACCTCGGCGACGTGATGACGGCCGCCGCGGCGTTCGAGGTGGTCGAGGTGGAGCTCGGCTTCCTCTACGACATGGCGTACACCAAGGCGGCCGTGTCGAGCACCAGGAGAGGCTGCCTCCTCCGCTTCGTCGCCACGGCGTGCCTCGTCGTCGCCGTCGTCCTCTTCGTGCTCATGGACAAGGCCGGCGTCCGCCACGTCGACCGCGGCGTCACCTACGTGCTGCTGCTTGGTGGGGTGGCGATCGACGTGGCCGGGTACCTCATGCTCCTCTCCTCCGACCGGACGCTGGCATTCCTCGACGGCAAGCCGAAGCTAGCTTGGCTTGCACGGGTGGCCAGGGCCGTGCGGCTGCCGACGAGGCGGTGGTCGGAGCGGATCACGAAGATGAACCTCATCAGGTACAGCCTAAGCAAGCCCGAGGAGGACGCCGGCCGCCGGTGCTGGTGCTGCAGGTGGACGACGATCCCGCGCGTCGTGCGCTGCCTCGCCTGGGTAGCCGACATGGTGGGCGTGAGGGAGATCTTGGACGACTTCTTCTTCATCCGGCACGAGCCGGTGAGCTGCAGGAAGATCAAGGATTCCAACAAGGGGAAGAAGTCCATCGACGTCCTCAACTACGTGTTCGATGGGCTCAGGAAGACGGCCAACGAAGTAAGGTACTCCGGCGGCAACGAGATGGAGGAGGTCTGCGACTACCGCGGCGGCGAGGGGATAATCAATGAGCTCGTCGGCGACATCCAGCTGATGGAGCTCAACGTGAACGACGTCGTGCGCGAAAGCGTGAGAAGGGAGTTCGACGAGTGCCTGCTGCTGTGGCACGTCGCCACGGACCTGTGCTCCCACCGCCGCCGCGAAATGGAAGTGCCACGGAACGGCGACATCCAGAGCTTGATGTCCATCAGCGAGACCCTGTCGGAGTACATGCTGTACCTCCTCGCCAGGCGGCCGGAGATGCTGCCCGCAGCGACGGCGACGGCCGCCGTCATCGGGCTGCTCCGGTACCGCGACACGCGCGCCGAGGCACGCCGCCTCTTCCGGTCGGCGGCGGCGTGGGACCCCACCCACCACGACGCCCAGAGGATGCTGCTCGAGGTGAACACGTCCAAGAAGCCGGCGGTTGTGAAGGGCGACGAGAGCAAGTCGGTGCTGTTCGACGCCTGCATCCTGGCCAAGGCGCTGCTGCAGCTGGGGGACGACACCATGTGGAGGGTGGTGGCCGGAGTGTGGAGGGAGATGCTCGTCCACGCGGCTGGCAGGTGCCATGGGAGCACGCACGTTCGGCAGCTCAGCCGCGGCGGCGAGCTTATCAGCATGGTCTGGTTCCTCATGGCGCACATGGGGATCGGCGACATGTACAGGACCCAGGTGGGGGACGCCAACGCTAAGCTCGTCGTCCTTGACCAGTAGACATGCATGCCTGCTGCCGCATATATTTTAATACTCCCTCTATTTCAATTCGTAGCAACTTAAAATAGGATTAGATCCATTTTAGGACTACAAATCTCGACATATATTTATTCAGATTCGTAGTCCCAGATCTAATCACATTATAAGTAGTTATATATTAGGCTAGAGAGAGTACATCACTTACAAGTGACCTTCCGCGAGGCAGCTTGATTCGTTCTTGTTGTCTTAGGTTTTTTTTTTTTGGTGTGTCCATTGAGGATCAAGTAGATGATGGCGACTATGTGGGTTGTTACTACCATCTGGATTGGGAAGATTGATTGATGGCAGTTGAAGTCGTTCAACTGTGTTAACCGATTGTACCGAAATTTTTACAATTTGGCTCTTTTAAAAAACTAGTTAAAAAATAAGCCTTTTGCTCAGCGCCAACCTTAATGGTGTTGTGATAAAACATCTCAGCGGCATAACCATTGGCGCTGAGATCTTATTCAAGGTGGCATGATTTCGCCATGTAATCAGGCCTCAGTGCCAATTTAGTTGGCGCGGACCTCTTGACATTTTAAATAAAAAAAAGGCCATGTATAAACCTCAACGCTGCTAGCCTGGTGGTGGAGCCCTTGCTTTGCATCTGGCAGGTTTCACATTCAAATCCCTAGTTCTACTTTTTATTTCCTACCTGCCCTCCTATTTTTCTTTTTAAGAATTTGGAATGAGCAGATTTGATGATTTAAATTATTGCATTTGTCTTAGTAAAATATTTAGCTTAATATCTACTACGAATTTACAACAAAACATGTGTTTTCTTTTAAAAAAAATGGAGAACAAAAACCTAAAATGGTAAATATTATATAAGTGAATTTCAATTTTCAATTTCAAAAATAAAATGGATTTTGAAACCATGCAATTTTTTAATAAAAAAACTTAAGCAGAAAGATGATAAATTGAGCACTGGGTAAGTGAGAAAAAAATAGGAGGCTATGGGGTTCGAACCTTGAACATGGATGAAGCAGCAAAGTGGACTTACAACTGAGCTGTACCCTTAAATCTAAATACTATAGTTTGATTCTGTATACTTATATAGTTCATCCCACTAAGTTTAGTTAATACTATTTCTATCTTCTCTCATTAAGCCACATCACCCTAATTATTTTTAGCATTTGAATGATAGATTTATAGTTCAAATTGTCTCTTCTTTCTTCTCTCATAAAACTATACAATCTCAATTATTTTTAGACTCAAAATTCATAAGTATCAAAATTTATTTTAGTTTCAATAATCATATCACATCTTATTTGTACATATTAGGCACCTTAATTTCCCGTAGCAACGCGACGAGGTATTCATATAGTTATCTATATATTCATACACTAAGGTCGTGCCATCTCAGGTAGAATGTTAGCACCAATGGTAAACATCTCAGCGCCATCATGGTTGGCGTTGAGTAAACGGCTCATTTTTGCAATTAGCTTTTTATACGAGTTATTATTGCAATAAATTTTTTAAAAGGATCAAATTGTCAAAATTTCGGCTGATTGTGAGTGCATCACTTTGGTTGTTTTTGGTGTGTGGTAGGTGCATTTGATGCTACCGGCAAGCATTTGATGAACCGATTGTGAGTACAATGGCGAAGATTACAAGGTGAAAAGATTGATCCATTCATCGAGATTCGACAACACCGCACTCGTATGTCATCCTCTTATTAGAGGTGTTATTTCAGGTTTTGGATGAAAATCTAGATCTATCTTCATATAGCAACAGCAATACAACACACTCATCAAATCCTTGTTGAACACCTAGAGTGAGTGATGTGAACCATTCCTACTATGGATAAAACTATTGTTCACATCATGGATTAACAAAAAGACATAAAGATCAATTCGTCCAAGTGCTGAAATCCGATTCGGCCACCTGCTATATTGCTGACTTCAAACTGTCACCAAATGTGCATATACGAGCTCCGTTTTTGGCCCGTGAGTACTTGTCAAGTCATCTTTTCAACAGATCTAGCCTCATCTCCAAATTCATTTCTGTCGGCTGCAATCACAGAAACAATGTGTTGCATCACCTATAATGGGTCTATGGGCTTGTAACTTCATCTGGACCTAGCCCAGGTGGGGCTCTCATGTGGGGTGCGCCGCAACATGGTGGAGCATGACCCTATGGACCCCTTGGTCGTCCTCCCACCTCCTTAAATAGGTAGGTACCCCTTCAGAGTTTCTTGAGTTTTGTTGATTAGATTTAGCAACTTGCTACTTGTTTGTAGCGCACGTGTTGGATAAACCGTTTGTCTGTTTGTTTTTGGAACCCCGCCATATTGTTATTTCAGAGTAAAACCTTCATATCTATTTGTTCTTCCAATTCGGTGTGTGTTCTACTTGTTCTTACTTGTTTTTCGATTGCTTATAGGATGAGTGCCCTCGTGACCGGGTTGACGCGCACCGCAAGATCGCGGCGACCACTAGAGACAGTATTGTTGACGGTCGTTATAGACCAATTTCGACCATCAATACTTCTAGAAATAATGGAGACCTAGCAATTCTTGCATGCATTTTTATTTAGAAATAATCTGGTTCCACTTGTACTTGGTAAAGTAATTGTATATAGGAGATCACTTCATAAATGGAGGAGAAACGATGGAAATTCACCGATCAATCAATCAGAGCCTGACATGTGGTAGACATATGGATGGATGGGCCCACAAACCCATTAAAACATTTGTAAATGGGCCCAACCAACATGCCACTGGCCAAGTATCCATCAAACAACGTCCAAGAGGAAGGACTGGGCCAGGAGGCCTGCCAAAGGTCGGCCGACCCCGGCCTGGCTCCGTTGGCCCATGCCCAAACCAATGACGGTTGTAACCGATTTGCCAATGGCAGTTGTACCGGAATTAACGCCCACAACCGTCATTCTCAACCACTATTCCAATACACACCAAGAAAGATTCAAGAAGAAGAAGCTCTCTTAGTTTACTCACTTTGCTCTAGTGCTAGTAGAGTTAGAATTAGAATAGTCTCCTTAGTTCTTCAAGTGTAACATCCTGAAAATTCCTGACATTAAAAATCACTAAAATTTTGAACTTTTTAAAACTTTTTGCATCATGCTGGAAGTTATGGTTGTTATTGCTTGCCAAACCATAAATCGACGCAATGGAAAAAAATCAATCTAAAGATTTACACCCGAGCAATAGTTACGATTTACAACGATACGATATTTATTATCAATCCCATAAATATTTATGCACATGAAAGCCAGGCCAAATAAAGTACAAGTCAATTATTAAACCCTGTGGTATAAATCACAAATCAAATATTAAATAATCAAACCATGTTGATAGCCTGATTTCATATTTAACAAAAGGAAACAACATAGTTGAATATAATTCACTTGAATCCAATCTCACATGAAATATAAGTACACATGAAATGATGATCACATCAATGGCCCGATCTATAATAGAGTTTCTCACTAGAATATATAATTAATATTTGAAACACCTTATCAAGCTCCTCATAGCATGAAAATCACTCATATAAAATAATGGTCATATAAATAAATTAGGCTTTATACATAAATAAGAATATGTGAGTGTTTAATTAAACAATTAGATTAATGTTGTACTAAGTCTCAATTTATATTTATAGAATGAGTAGACCCACGTAAAATGCATTGTTATACAAATAAGTTCATTCAATGTGCTATTGTAATAATAATGGCCACATTAGGATATTTTAAATTAATTTTAGAACCCTCAAAGCCTCCAAAATTATCTAGGTTAATTTTAGATTTAAAACTCATTTAAATAATACAATAGGAAAATATATAAAATATGGGTAATATTAAATTTTGGTCAAATTTCATCTAAAATAAAACATATATTGGGTAAAACTCTAATTGTGTGAAATCTAGAAATTATGGGACAAGTTTTAATAGGAAATAGGCCTCAAAAGTGGATAATTAGGAAAAAGTCACTGTTCATTATGGCATAGGTGTTTGATGTGGTTCCCTAGCCCTTCCCCCCCTCCACTGCCGCGCTCCCCCTCACGCCCCGTGCCCCTGCACGCGCCGCGCCGCGCCGCTGCCGCCCACTGCTGCGCGCCGCCTCGCGCCCCGCGCCGCCGTCGCCGTCGCCGTCGCCTCGCGCCCCGCGCCGCTATCGCCGCCGCGTGCCGTCGCGCCGCCTTGCGCCCCGCGCGCTGTCGCCGTCGCCGTCACGTCGCCATCATCACCGCGCCGCGCGTCGTCGTCATCGCCGTCGCATCGTCATGATCGCCTGTCACCGTCGGCTGCGCCGCGCCGAGCCCCGCGCCACTCCCGTCGCCGCCGTCGTGTCGCCCGTCGCGTCGCCATCGCCATGCGCCGCGAGCCGTCGCCGTTGGCCTCGCACCCCGAGCCGCCGCACGCCCGTCCTCTCGCTGCCTCGCGCCTGCGCCCCGCCGCACGGCCGTCCTGTCGCCGTCGCCCTGAGCCGCTGCCGCGCCCCGAGCCCCGTGCCGCTACCACGCCTTCGCGTCACCGTCGTCGCCATGAGCGCCTCGAGCCCCGCCCGCGCCGCGCACTGTCGCCGTTGCGCCGCGCCGTCCCGCCGCCGCGCGTCGCCAACGCCCCGAGCCCCACGCCGCCGCGCCGTCCCGTCGTCGTTTAAAGCCGGCCACCCCTCCCCGCGCCTATATAAGCCCCTCCCCGGCTGCCCATTGCTCCCCACACTACCCCCACCACCTCCCCTCCCTTTTCCCTCTCTTTCCCATCCCCAGCGTTGCCGCCTCATTGGAAGCCGCCACCGCCGCCGCTGAGCCGATGCGCCCCGCCGCCGCGATGTGCCTCGTCGCCGCGCCGTGCTCCGCCGTCGACCTCGCCGCCGCGTCTCCGTCGACCCCGCCGCCGAACCGGTGAGCCTCCCCCTCCCCCACCGCTTGCCGTCGCGCCGTGCCGCCCGCCGGTTCTAGCCGAGGCTGTGAGAGAGAGAGGAGAAAACAGAGAGGAGAGAGAGAAAAGAGAATGGAGGAGAGAGGTTAGAGTGGGCCCCACCTGTCATTAATTCCATCCAATTTCCCTTAGAAAAATAATTCTGTAGAAAAGAAAATCAAGACCTTGACCCCACCTGTCAGTCACTATAGCTTGTGGATAAGGTTGTATTATAAATAAATGAATTAGGAACAGTACCATTTCGCAATTATTAGAATTAATTCAAATTTGAATCTTTACACTAGCATAACTTATTCATTTCAGCTCCGATTTGAGTGAAACTTGAACCTAAATTCATAAGCTTTCCAATGATATATAATTCACTATTTGATAAA